TCATTCCGAAACTAGTCTGCTTCTCCCTCGAGAGAAGTGAGAGTGAAAGTCAACTTTCTCTTTAATAAGTTACGAGAGAGGAGGATAGGAATTTGTACTTCGCTGCTCTCCAAGTACTCTTGATTTTGTAATAAGTATCCTGTTCCGAGTGTGCTTCTAGTGAGAATATTTGCAAACGTTGCGAATTACATTGATGCTGGGTGGGTGGGAAGTACGAAAAATAAGGCAGTGATGTTACGAACGTCTAGTTGCGGGCGGGTATTAACCTCAACCCACATTGGCAAACTCTCTATACTATTGCAAAATTGCGAATTTTGTCCTCCACTGCTTCCTCCTCTGTGATGTTGAGTGGAGTAGTTGTTGCTTGGAAGGATGGAGATGGAAACATCATTCTAATTCAATTTTACATAGGACAAACTACATACTTTCTCTCTCACACACAGTTTGAACATCATGGATGATACATTACATTTCGTTCCAGACTTTCACCGAGTTTTCAGAGTTCACTAACCTCCCTTTACGGAAACATGGGAGCAGTTCTTCTCTGTGGATGGATGGATGGGCTCACTTAATAAATATTGGATGCTTCACTTCACTCTTTAATAACTGCAGGTCCAATTGACCTCACTTTTATGTGTCCCATCCCACCGTTACTTGATACACATGGGAGACGATACACATACACAGACAAATAAAATAGCCTCGTTTATTTGCAGAGGTGGGCAAAATACTGAGTCAAAGTGTACCGCATTTTGAACTCTGTTCTTTCCAGGGTTTCGATTTCCGGGGGTATTACACATAAAGATGAGAATCTACGTGGAGAAGACAACAGCCAGATGAAAATATAGGTTTTGTGATGAAATTAACTTTTTATGATGAGTCAAAATACATTGTCTTCACGATTTTTTAAAAACAAAGTATTTTGACGCGCCAAGTCAATTTCTTCAGAAAATCTGTATTTTCGCATGATGTTGCTCCACATAGATTTTCGTATTTTTGTGGAAATCCAATCCCTGTGAAGAACAGAGCTCAAAAATGTATATACTAGATTTTGACGAAGTATTTCTACCCATCTCTGTTTATTTGGCAAGAGCGAAGTTGTTGTGGAGAAAATTGAGAGTGAGTGATAATTAGACCACCAAGTTTTCCCTACGTCTGTAACTTATGGCTTGTGCAACATTTTGATAAACGTTAATGCTTCATGCATATTGTCCCTGGAGGAATAAAAAGTTAAAAAAGAACTTTTCGCAACCTGACACAACTTATCCCTTATTTTATTTTTTATTTTACTTTCTCTCTCTTTCCGCACTCGAATTTGGAAACTTTTGCATAAAATATGTATATGTTTTAAAACCTCTTGTTTCTCGGTTTCATAATTCTCGACTAGTGTTGTTCCCGTTATGCTCGATTTCCTCTCTCTAACATCTTAAAGAGTACGTTACCCTCGTACATACACACTTGATAAATGCGGCCGGCTATAAATACATAGATATTTCTCTAAATCTTGACTTGACGGACTTCATCTTCTCATTCATTAATTTTGCCTTTTGCCTCCTCGCCCAAATTTAATTTGTCCGTCGAGTGGAGAAAGTTCTGCAGAGAGAGAGATGTCAAGTATTAGGGAACCAAGTGAAGTGGAAGGATAAGTAGGAACAAAAAAGAAGAAGGTTTTATAACTTTTATCCCGAGACTCACGACGACGATGAGAGGCTTCTTATTCATTTCGCTCAAATTTAATTAGATTAATTGGCATGGATGGAGAGGTGGCGAAATTGAAAATTTCGTACATCCATTCCTATTGAATTTAGGGTTCGCGAAATGCATGGAAATAATCTCTGGGGAAAAGTGATAAGAAATATGGATCAACTGGTTGGTGGTGCAGATTATGTTTTTATGTATGAAGAGAAAGATTGATCACACACAGAGACACTCTGCTGTATGTAAGTATTATAAGAAGTTAAGTAAGTAAGAGGAGAAAATTGGTGACGGAAGGATGGCTACGAGAATATCTGTGTGTCCTTCCTTAGATTTTCTATTCATCTTCTCCCAGTCTTCTTGGTGAGTAGTCGGGTTGCCTGGTTTGTCCGGTTTTTCTTTCCTGCCGGCTGCAGCTTTTCCCGGCAAGGAAAGTAGTCTCTGAGAGGAGAAAGATTAGAAGAAAACGACACATATGGCGTTGGTTAGTTGCTTCGTTGATTCCAATATGAAACAGTGTTGGACAGATTAACAAGTTATCTAGTTGGTAACAAATAAGCCTAATAACATTTGTTATTATTACACTCCAATTTTCTCCCTCTGTCTCTCTGTCAGACTACTTATTCCCTTTCCGAGAAATGCAGAGATAACTTATTAAATGCGGTGAATTCATGCCTCCTCGTCATCTCTTTATCTCCTCAAGGACATTTCTGGTCACGCAATCATCTCTTCTTCTCTCGGCGAAAGAGGATGAAATGAAAGCGAGTTGTCATCCCTTCTCTCCAAATCGGCAAACTGAGGAGATGTGAAGTGGGTGAAAGTACACACTTGTTGTTGGGAAGAATTGATATCATCATCATTTTCACTAGTGCATGATTCCACTTGAGGAAATAATTCAGGAAAATTATCAACGAGACGGTACATAAACGAGTGAAGCTCTTGTAAATCCATTGTAAACCAGATCAAGGATTTTCATAAATAGATATGCTAACTCTGCATCAAGGTTTGGTTTGCTGCATACACGAAGCTTACACGTGATTTCACCCTGGTTGCAAAATATTATAAAGTGAAAGGAAAGAGGAGAAAGTTGGAGGGTTTCCTGCCGGATTGAATTTTGTAGCACTTATCACATGTCCTCGACAGGAGGACGAGTGTATAAACAGTGGCCGCGGAAGCGTGGGGACAATGTCCCCACAATTGTGCGATGTCCCTTTCATCTGTTCATCTTATATAAACCCCTCCCTTCCCTATCCTGTAATTTTAATGTCCCCAGATGCTCCAACACTTTCCGCGGCCACTGAATTAGGTAGGTACACTTGTTGGCCGGGGAAATCTAGTCTATTTCTAGCCCCTGCAATACATAAGTTAGAGCGTCGTGGCGATGGTGATGGATTGATGGTATGTTGCCTGATTACATATCGAGCCAAATCATGGCATTCCATTAGGTGCTGCTATGGTGAAAGTGGAACACTTTTCTTGCAAAACTTTCTCTCCTAGAAATCTGCGAGTAGCTACATGTAATAATCCGCTTTATTACTGCACTACTCGTACTTACTTACTACATGGCACAAAATATCTTTATGTAGGAAGGAAAACTAATGGAGAAAGCAACAGTTGGCATCATTTTATTATGTTATATTTCTCTCTCTCTCTCTCCTTATTAAGGTTTCGAGATGGAAAAGCATAATTTAGAGTCAACTTTTTCTCTTTACTCGAGAGAGAGAAGTGAACATTGTGTAAAGAGAGAGAGAAAAAGAGATTGAAGTTTTGTATGATTTCTGCGAATATTGAATTTAGAAAGTCATCATTGAACGGCAAATAACCTCGTCTGTTCTGCTCCCTTACATATTTTATTTGATCTCTGCCTCTGCCTGCGTGTCAGATCCATGTGACTTATCCAAGCAAGCAAGTAAACGAAGGACAAAACTCAATTCTTCGTAAAATGCCAGCCAGCCAGCCAGCCAATCATGCCCCAAACTAGTCGTAAAGTTTCATTTTATTCAAAATAAGTAATTCGCGTAACCTGGGCTACACAGTAGGCAGGCTTCAGCTTTCTCTCTCTCGCATGCACACATATTCTCCAAAGTAGTCGTCTTTACAAACTAAATTCTATAATGATAATTCTCTATGGTAGACAGACTACCGTGGTCTAATTCTCATTAGTATAATTGGCCCAGTTAGTTAGGAAAACGTATAGCTTTTCACTCTGTTGTGGCTTTTCTTTCTTCTCTGAATTCTCCCCATTTCGCGATCCCGTTTGCATATTCCCCACAAGAGTGAAATCTCACATTTACAATTTCCCAGAGTGTCGCGTTCAGTGATTTTCTCTTATTGAGAAATATCTCGTTGCGAAACAGCTAAAGAGAAAATTTGTATAAATGTTTGATCTCTGAATCGAATTTCAGACTCAAAAGGACTTCTAATCAACTGTTTAAAACTTATGATGGCTCGTTAATGACGCGGATTTCACAAACTTTCTCTGAGAAACCTTGTAATTTATAAAAAAAACTGTGTACGTGCGCCGCACTGTACATATAATAGTTTTATTATTTTTTTTATACCCCCACCTCGTTCGTTACCTGGAACTGCACTAATTGGAGAGTTGGTAACTTGATATGGAACAAAATTTTCTGGCTATCTTCTTCCTAATAAGATACCTTTCGCTTCGTGGTGGAATCCGAGAGTTGGAGTTGGGGAGTTGAATGTCCTAGTTCCGCTTTCTCTTTCTCTCTTCTCGGAGAAAGTTACAGGTAGGAGGTCGCGTTGCCAGGTAGGCGAAGACCAGTGTGGGTTTGCTATATTTCTTGCACTGGGAAGCAAGAAACGCAAGAAATGCAAGGTGCAAGAAACTGCAAAAAAGTGCAAGAAATATGCGTCATGAACTACATCGGCGGGACGTAGTTTCTTGTGCCTTGCATTTCTTGCAGGTCGAATTACCTGCAGGAACCCACTTTCTTGCAAGTGGTTACTTACTTTCACCCGAAACACTGGCAAAGACCTGCCTGGCTGCGAGTGAGTACATGAAAGGAATACAGAAAACGAACTATCCAAGCATTTCGCCATCATTTGGGGAGCGCGTGATGGCCATGATTAAATGTCAGAGTGGTTGGGTCAAATTCTGTTTTTGATTCCGTCTCTTTGTTGCCCGTTACACTTTCATTTGTTTTCTCCTCAAGTTCCATCATCCATTATTATTGAGTTTACCTTCTCCTTCAAGGAATTCAGGGCAGAGGAGCATTGTTCTGTGCACAAAATAAATAAGTGTTCCAATTCCAGTCGCTAATAATCTCTTATTGTTATTTCAGATGGACGATGATGGGCATGGGAACGATGACATGAGGTTCGTGGTGCTGGCGACGCTGCAGAATCAGCGGATGACGAAAGTGAATTGTTGCATGTGCCAGTCCAACATGATTATTTACGATCGCTATCCCCTCATCGATGGAACTTTCTTCATCGCACCGAGAAAATATGGCAAGGAATCGATCCCGATGGTAAGCTTGTCGGTCAGCTAAATCTTGATCTATTATAGGCAGCAGTACATATTTGCATAGTTTGTACGTGGGTTAATTCTTCAGCCGTGGTAATTTGGACGACCAAGTTTCTCATATTTCACATGCATGCATAGACAGACAGTGAAGATTATTAGTTTCACTGGGTGCTTTCTTTTGTACCCAGTTTGGAAGTAGGTTGACGATATGTACATAAATACGTATGTACCTTGTTGGTCGCAATTAAGTCGTGATGTGAGCCGCTTACATAAATCCTTTTGAATTAAGTTTGTGCATGTAACAAAAGAAGATAACTTCATCTAATTATACACATTACATATTTGCATATTAGGTTTGCGTGCGCTCCATTGTGTTTCGTTGACGGGATGGCTTATAAAAAAAATATTGTGCTATTTCATGCCAAACTAGGTATTTTTTAGATTGTCTGTCTGTACATGCACTTAATTATTCGTCGCGCTCGTCCTGATATAAATAATGGGATTGAGGAGTAGGTAGCTAAATAAATATGCATTCAGTGGCCGCGGAAGCCGTGGGGACATTAACATTGTAGGATAGGGGAGGGAGGAATTTATATTGCATGGACAGCTGATGAGGACATTGTCCCTCTGTCCCCACGCTTCCGCGGCCACTGTACTTATTTATTTACATATATGGCTAAAAGTATGCATATGATGTAACTCTCGTTTATGCAGGAATGTATGCAGCCCCAGGGTTTTGGGGGATTTTGAAATTTTTCTCTTTATGAAGATCAAGGTTGAAGTGGAAGGAACCCATTATTACGACGAATTTGAGAGTTTATGGCTTATTGTGAAATTTTTATTAGCATAAAAGACTAAAAAGTTATTATCAGAGAGAGAGACGAGTGGTATAGTTATTACAGACTTTACTATACTGTCCATCCATCCATACATAGTTGTTGACCTAGGACATGGAACGCTCGCACGGCATGCCAAATAATGCCAAAAAAGCACTGCGCAGCTCTCCTCAGTTTGACCAGTAATTGCGAAATAAATTCTGTACCTCCATCCACTTTTGGCGAGGAAGAATGAAGAGAGAAAAAAATTCCTTTTACAGACCATGCAGACCGGTTTTTCCACAAATAACAAGTCGCGATAAAAATGAAAGTGCGGAGTATTGTCCTTGATTATGTAGGATTTGAGGAGAGGGGGCTCTTTAAATACGCTATTTGTACAGTAAGGATGCGTCAACACTTTATAACGTTACTGCTAAATACCCACCTTTGCAAAATTGGAGGCAGCGATCCGGTCTGTCTGTGGTCAAGATTCTTTCCAATAATTTCTGCCAGTTTTAGTTCGCAATTAGACATCGCGACGTAAAGTGACCAAGAGAGGATCACTCGGTCCGCTGCCCGTTAGTTGGAGAGAGAGACACCCGGTCACATAAGGCTGCCTTGTAGTAGGTGAGTAAGTACCCTTTAAAGCAGTCCCTGGCAGTTGTCGGTTTGTTAATTTTAATGAATCCTATTCATTTACTGAGAGAGAAAGAGAGAGATAATTTATTTATCTCAACATTATTCACGTTGAGGAAGGTCAGGCAGGAATGACTTGACATCATCTGCAGCCGGTCGGTGGTACTTGGTTGTTACTACTACATAAGTGCTCTCGGTCCCTTTACTCTCTACCGGTTTTGGTGAACATTTTATTATTATTTCATTTACAAATGGGTCTCGCACCATGCATACTCTCGTTCTGAATGGAAATGAAAACTGCTTGTTGCATCCGGTTGGTTGGTTGGTTGTCGTGTCAAAGTCGATTTTTATGTCCCTCCACTATGCAATTAAGTTCACTTAAAAAACTCGTAAATGTAAAAATAGGACATACATGCTCCCCAGTCTCAGTCAGAAGAAGAGTCATAATTCAGTCAGTCTATCGCCAGTATGGAAAAAGGGGTAGGAAAAGAAAGCAAGTTTTTCGACATCCCGCAGCGTATTTTGCCTGCATCCGTTTAATTAATATGCAGATGGCACTATTTATCGTGTATGTACATATGCACTATATGCGGGATGAATTAGATAGTTGATTAGATAATTGGTGGTGAAGAAAATTTTGGATTTTTTGATTTTTCCCGTAATGCATTTCATCTTCTCTTTCGTGAATGAGGGTCTGTTCCCTGAGAGAGCTTAGAAGTTCTGGGATGGGCTGCCGTCCCAAAAATATCTTGACATCCCCCTCTCTCTCATTCTGGGTTTGGCAGGCAGGATCTGTCTTATCTCTCCAAGGGTTGCTTATGTACTGAAGAATCCATAGAAGAAGAGCTGACGTGGTCCTCGGTCGTGGCTTGGCGTGGCGTGGGGAGAGGGTGAATAAGTTGACTGACTTGTGTATCACGTAGCTGCTTTAGCTTCGGCTTGCTGGGGGTGAGCAGGGTAGATTTTCAGGAAGGAAAAGAAGATGCCACGTTGGATGGAATGGAGGATAGGGTAACTTAATTCCATGTTGGGGTAGGTTATTTATTCTCACTTTTTTCCTCTCTCCGTAAAAATAAAATAAAGTGGTCCGATCTTGTCGTAAAAATGTTTAGGTGATGTGATGGCTGAATAGAATACGTAATTTTTATTATTCCGCTCCGATATGTATTTCATCTCTCGGCGTGATACTGCACATTCGATGGGATGCTGGTTCAATTTGAATACTTATTTCACAAGAAGAAGGGTTGATCATAAATAAGTAGTGCTGGGCTGGGCTACTCGTTTTATTCCATCTTTGCTGCTGACTCAATGCATAAGTTTAATAAATAAAAAACTTTGTCCATCAGCCAGCCACCAAATGATCCAGCAGTTTTGTTTTTGTTGATTATACTTATTGGCCTGAATCCAGTTTTGACTCCTGAGTCGGACCACGTATGTATCTACATACTCGTTATTATTATAATAATAATAACTTGAAGCTTGTTACGTTACGTGACGTGATCCAAATATGGTTCGAATAAATTTAAAGAACCTGCCACGACATGGAAATTGGGTTTGCCGAATAGAATTTTAAATTGAATCTTGACGCATCTTCTTCATGGATGAGGGTTGAGTATCATCGGTCAGCTCTAAACTTATACATAGACCGGTTTATGCATGGTGAGTCAATAGAGATATGTACCAAAGTTTTTGTGTGCACAAGGTTCATATATGATTATCTTGGCTCAAAGAGAGTGGACCATAAACCAGCAGATGCAGAAATGTCCACTGTTATGGTTGTGATATTTTTGGTAGAATTTATTGGGTAACCGGTGACCTGACCTTTGCTAACGTAACGCCTAGACATGCCGCACACAGGGTGGAAAGATGTACATACATAATATTTTGTTTGATTTTGATAAGCTACACTATTCTGCAGCTTATGCACAAGTATGTACATAACATATATACATATGCACTTATATGTAGTGAGCTCAACTACATATAAGTGGCCGCGGAAGGCGTGGGGACATTAGTATTATAGGATGGGGGGGAGGGAGAGGGTTATATAACGTGGGTAAATTGTGGGGACATGAAATAACCGTGGGGAAATTGTCCCCACACTTCCGCAGCCACTGCTCGCCTACTCGGGATCGTATCAATTTTCATGATATGATTTTGCTTTTGTGTACATAAAATATTCGATGCCGGTTATGACGTTCGTTGTGTCACTCACGCAATGCACTTTTGACAATCAATATCATCCATCCATCCATTCTCTAGTTTTACTAAAAGTGAGCAAAGTCATTCAATTTTTGTTGAGCCTGGATGAATTGGATTTTCAAACTATAGATAGTATGAAATACGAGATAAAACGAGAATTTGACGACCACTGGACAAGATAACGAGCCCAGTGAAATAATATTTGAAGGGTGTCTGCTGCTTGCTCCCGTAATCTATACGTTGGTTTGGTTGGTGGGGGAATAAGTTTGAGTGGTGTCCTATAAAGTGGTTCTCTGATTACTAGGTTTACAAACCTTGTGTTAGGGCAGGCATCACCAGTCTCATGACTTTCACCCCTCTGCTTCTTCTCCTACAGAAAACATGAGAAAATTCCTGCTGGAGGATTTCCGAACTGAGATTTCATACCGAGAATATGATGATGGTGATTGATTTGTTTGCTAAAATTAGTGCTAAGAATTATGCATGCAACTCTGATTAACGAGTCAATCAGTGAAGTATGCAAGTATCTAGTTGGGATTTCTACTTTATTGAAAGTGATTAGAGTTCCTCGTCCACCAATCAAACCAACGCCTGGACAAACCAGCAATGACCTTCAATCCTCTCCGTGCAGCAAACTTTGTTTACGTACTTCGTGCATTGCTGAATAATATCTATCTATTAGCAGAGATTAACTTAATGTTGTTTTGGTCTCATGGCTGGATGACATGATGCGAATGCGTATTAGCATTATTTTTGCAATGTTTGTATACATACAGTGAAGAGCATGAGCGGATGGGAGAGTCGATTAAATGGTGACATTTGCTTGATAAATGGCGATAGCAGCTTAATAATAAATTGTGCAAACGACCATGTGGTAGCGAACGTTAGGTCATTATCATTATCCATTTCATCAAATCAGAATTATCGTCAAAATCGTCATCGTCATGAAAAAATGGTCAGTTTTTCATGTCTATTTTTTAATTTTTCCACAGATGACCACATCTCCAACCTCGGGCGCGGACGGAGTGTCCAACACGCGCTACTTGACCGCGATCTGTATGCACTGCCTCTCTGGAAAGCAAGGTGGATACGTTTGTCGCGGATGTGGGAAGGCGTTCGATGGAACGGCCATCATCATCGGAGCGATCTACAGCTACGACGTGTTTGCGTCGATGGCTTGTTGCCGTAAAAGAGTCGAGGTAAGTAAGAGCAAGAAGAACAAGTATTTTATATATGCACCACCACATCTCCTCCAGTTTTTACTTACATCATTAAGAAAGTGAGACGACGCATGGTACGCGAGTTACTTAATGAGTGACATGTATTTATGCCTGTCAAGTTAATTCAGCCTCACATTTGGATAAACAAGGCGCTAATCCTACCCACCAACCAAGTTATGCGACATACGACTAAATTACTAGACTGACTAACGAGACGTTTCGCAAGGAAAGTTCACCTTCTTCTTACGTGTCGTGGAATGGAATTGATTAAATATTTAGTTTAAGATAGGAGATTATCATAATATTACAAAGCTGTCCCACCAACAGGGGTGGCCGCGGACGCTGTGGGGACATGTGGGGACATTACCATTGTAGGATTGGAGAGGGTAGGGTTTATATAACATCGGGGACATTGTCCCTCCGTCCCCACGCTTCCGCAGCCACTTCTGCTGCCCTCATCCATCTCTGCATTGTACATATTGCTTATCCAATCTCTTTATTGAATCTTCCCTCCTCGACATGTTGTCGTAGACTTGTTTTTCACTACTACGGCGACAACGCTGAATTTTCAAATTTACTTACTTCTGGTGAGCACGTCAACGGTTTTATTCGTTGACGTTGCGTTGGGGCCAGCGATCCGTAAATTATTTGTAAAACTTGCATCGCTCCCTTCTTTTTCTTGCTTTCCTCTTGACTAGGCTGCCAGCTAATGTTTATCAAGTTGGGTTGCTCCTTTGCATGCATGTATACATGTACATATTGTCTAAAAATAGTCGAAAAACTAACCAAGTCAAATAAACAGAAATTGGACAGGCAGACTGCCAAGTCAAGTTCAAAGCCTTTTATTCTCCTTGCTCCTCATCTATGTAATGCCTGCACTTTACTTTAGTTTTCGTCTCTCTATTATTAAGCACATTCCATCCATGAATGTATCGCTGTGTGTGTGTGTAAAAGTAAAACTATGCTTTGTACATAAATACACGCGTGTCACTATTCTTCTTCTTGGCTGGAGATGAGATAAGTTGAGGATGCATGGTGGGGGTGGATTGGATGGATGAATGGAGATGGTGGTGATGAAGGTTGGAAAAATAAGCCTGGCTGGATTTTGTTTAATCATAATCATTACGAAATATGTATGTAGCAGTTAAACTATCAACTTCTGACTCATAAGTATTTAAATATGATGCAATCTCCCATTTACAATTAAGATCAGGATTATTGTCTTTATCGTAAAAATACGAAATGTGTTGTTAAATGCAGTTGTTAAACTATCAACTTTTGATCGGAATCATATTTATGATGTAATCTCCCATTTACAATTAAGATCACAGGATTATTTTGTATTTATCGTAAAAATCCCCAGACTATTTTTGTACCAAAATCTGTTGAGTCGTGTAGCCATCATAAAACTTGTTCCCATTCGATAAATTTGACACTATCAAAATTGCACAGGATTCTGACATTTCTAATCGTACTGCATTTTTAAATTATTTATAGTAATTATTTATTATTAAGTGAGTGATAATAATGTTTATTGGTTTGGTGTTAACATGCATACACAACAAACCACTTGACCAGCATGAGTTTTTTTGAAGAGCTTGTTGCCATTGATAAGGAAAGCTATCAGTAATTACTTCATGGTTTGGTTTGGTTTTGTTGATGGCCTGGCAAATTAGAATAAATACGTAGGCAGAATCCCAGGAATTTGCAGTTGTTCCCAAAATAAGTGGAATGTTTATTAAACAATTATTAGAGAATAATATTAATTATTTATGTCGTTTGTTGACGGAACAAATTGCAAGGTTTTTGTTGAGGTTGGTTGCGCCTTTGGTTAAATATATTCGCATTTGTAATTTGAACTGTGACACACATTTCATTTGTTGATATGTATGAGTGAATATTCGTTAGTATCATATGACTTTGTGGTGTGGTCAACGTTTCATATTTGTTAGAGAGGCGGAGGACAGGAAATGGTTGATGATAATATGCGCAATATTTACATACATAGGATGAATTTTTGTAAAACTACTCCATATTTTGTTATCTTGAGCAAAAACTTATGCGCAATTCTAATTCAATACAAAAATCTTGGTGTTAATCATTCTTGTGGTGGTGAATTTCTGATATCCGCTTCCTGCCGCGAAATAAGAGATGGTCATTGTTTATCTTACATAATTGATAAGTCGGGTCATGCTTATTTAAGTACGGCGAACTGCGACGTTCGAGTTAGCAACTACTAAATTCCCACAATTTCCATCTCAATTCGTGGAAATGCAGTCACTCAGCAAATTGGCATCTGTCTGCGTCCTTTAATTGACAGCTACTACCCACGAACCATAAAAATTCCTTCTTTTCGCGTATCATCAATTAATATGTTTTTCTTCTCTTTTATTACAGTGTGGAAACTGCCGAGCAGTATTGCACAGCGAGCAGTACAAATATTTCTGCCAGGGAAGCAACCTCATCCGCTGTTACCGCTGTGGATTCATGGACTTCCACTTTGCCAAGGTATTTACATACATTTACACACATTTGCATACATGTTAAAAATGTGACAATTTCCAGCTTGAGGAGAAATTTGTAAAATCCAAAATCACATTTTCCCCTTATTTTCCAGGCTTTGGAGTCCGTGTACGAGAGGGTCGCACCGGACCAGTTTGACAAAATATTGAGGATGCAAAAGGTAGAGGAGAAGATGCGAGTGATGAGGATGACAAACTCACTGGCTGCTTAACCTCATCAAAATATCACTTATTCAGCATCCTAATTTTACTTAGTTTCCAATTTAGTTAGTTAATTACATATGACGAAACAAATTGACCGGAGCATATTTACACACAAAAAAGAATTCTATATGTATCTCCGAATATATTTTCTTCAAAGAAACCATTAGCAGAAAAATATGATTTTCATTTCACTCTGATTTCCAACGACCTAAGTTAGTCTTATAGTTATGATTTATGTATCACTGTTTCTGTGGCATGCATGATCCAAATGTAGGAATAGTAGGATCAAATACATACAAATTATGAGATGTAATGGACTCGAGGAATTAATTGTTGGCTCTCCAAGAAGATTTATCTATGTACGAGAGATGATATATTATATTTACATCATATTGCACTAAATATATACTTACACTAGATATAAATAGTTGGTTAACTCTAGGACGAAATTAGCTCTTGCGGAGACGTGCGTAGCAGTAACAATAAATCAGGTAAGCTGCATACTAACAAAGTATGTACTCGAAATACATGCATAACAAATTAGCAAAAGAGGAGAGACCATCAGCCCGAATGATAAATAGGATAATGGAAAAAAGCCTGTTTGCAAGTATATGAACGTGAATGAAATGGTGGTTGGTTTTCGTTCGTAGCGTGAAATGAGGTGAGTTGCTTAATGGGAGGGAAATGATATATTAGTCTATTTATATTTCTATCAATTTCTACTAATTTTCTAGTTTTATATAGTTATCATCCAAACCTTTTAAAACTTTGTAATTTGATATTTTCCAAGAATTTCGCAACTTTCTAGGTCTTGATTAAGAATTTGATAGGAATTATATGGGTAACTTTTGGGTAGAGAACTTATTAGAAGAGGAAAAAAAACACCTGCGTGATAAAAGTGAAAGTCGGACTGGAAGGAGGCAATAATAAGTAACAAAAAAATCCATGCTATTCTTGATTGTTGATTCTGTCGTGAAATTGCAACTTCTTGAACATGCACCGGTGCAATTAGGGGAAAACATCTCGATGAAATGAGACAGGCAAATGTACGGCCTACGTTACGGGGCAGGTTGAATCTGATGTGATCTGAATGTGAGCTCTTCTGATGATATTGCCAACTTTCTAAATAATCCACTTTTCCAATTAATCCAATCGCAAAAGAAAAGTTGTATTTGTTGGTTGTAAATGTCGCGAAAAATCAAAATTAGTCCGATTGTTGGTGCACGCTAAAAAGCAACCTGTCCCTACGTGACCGTGACATGAGATGACGGATAAATGCGTGTAGAAGCGGAAAATTGGAGCGAGTTTGCATAGAAGGCAAAGTTTAATTAAATTAGCAATTAGGATAATCATCTCCTTTTCCATTGGTACCTTTCCCTAGGAAAAATAAAATAATTATTCTTAGAATCATAAAAATTGCACACAACTTTTTTTAAGGTGATAATGAGCTCGGACTGGAAAGTGTATATTAAAAAGTAGTGTCAGTCGTTAAGGAAGCCGGTGTGTGGAACTTATAGCTCATTTTTGAGACTGAGATTGGAATTGGAATGGAGAAAAATTGTGTACATATTGCATTCATGGGTAAAAGTATATATAAAATAAATAGCAGTAGGATTTTACGTAGCTTACTTGTTAGCACACTAATTAAGGTCTCCATTTGCAATCCACATTTCCCACAAAAGTCTATCATGTAGTACTACATATGTAATATTTAATTATAACGTCTCTATTTACATATGTACCCTCCTCTATTTGCATAATACTAATAACTATAAATTGCTGACAGCAAGCTTTGAGATTCCTTATTTATGAATCTATTTATGGGATGAATAAATCCTGTGCCAATTTTTTTACTGTCTGTCGTATCGTGTCGTCGTACGTACAAAGTACAAATATTTAAAAGCATGAGAAACAATGTAAACTCTGTGTACAACTTGTGAAATTGGCCTTGTGTTTTTATTTTGAAAAAATTTGTGAGAATCTATCGCTGTCCGTTTTCTTAATAATTAATTCACTACGGTTCGTTCGAAAAAATAGAGACGAAAAAAATCTGAGCGGTTATCTGGCAGATTTTCTTTTTTTACATGGCACAAAAAATAAGGTAGAAAAATTTAAGGACTTTTGTCTCTACTCTTTTTGAATGAAAAGTAACTAGACTGCTTTGTAATATGATAATTAATTAATACGCTGCTTTGTGATGGCTGTTTTATTGATGAAAATGTGTGTGTCTAAATCTTGGAGAAAGACTGAGTATTCATAAATTGGAATGTAACATATTGTCTCAAAAAATACTTTATTTGGTTCGAAATTGAGGAATGACGTCAAGTACAAAAAAAGAGGCGATAGACTGAGCAAAAAATTGGATTTACATATTATTATGACAAAAGTTTTAGCAAAATTCCATACAATTTTTTGGACAAGAGTCAAAGTTCATAGCAAAAAAAAAAGAATATATATATCATGATATTATATTATTACGCGTCTTGTGATTGAATTACATACATCGCCATTATTATCACCAATTGCAGATTATCTACCTTTATAAATTATGAGAGAAGCAAGACTACACTTTTTTCCATTTTTTTTTTTAAATTTCCCAACTTTTTGAAACCGATTTGTCACAGCAAAAATATTACATACAACACAGTGTCAAAGTGAAAGTGTGGTGTGCATCTGGTCGTACATATATCGGGATGGAAAATTTTGAGGCTAATAAACGTAAATAAATGTTACCCACTTAAATAATCATCAGATGAGAAACTCTCAACTATGGCGATCCATAAAATTTAGAGAGTCGCACTGTACCTGACAAAAAGGAATGGTGAACAGATTTTCGAACCCTTTCGATCAAATCTTTTAGTAGAAATCGATTAAGAAAAGAAACAAACAGTATAAAGAACTGGATCAGAATAGTGAAATGAATATGAAAGAAAGGACCATCTCGATTTTAATATTCATGCGGAAACATCAACAGAATTATATTTGGTTGAGGAAGTGACAGAAGTTGGTTGATGTACAAATATTTATGAGAATTGGGATTTTAAAAAGTTTGACCGCTTGGCTTGGCATATTTTCAGAGAAAGGTATAACAATATTTTGTATTTAGTAGTTATTTATTTATTTGATTGCAAATGGAGAATTAGGGTAAAAAAACTAAACATTAAGGTATCATTATACATAGTTTTAACACTAGAGGTACCAGCACCTGCATTTACCCACACGAATTTATAGCATCCATATTGTACGATACATGACATTATTACATAATATGTGTCATCGTACTTATGACATGATTGCTGTGGGTGTCACATTTGTATTTATTAACAGTTAATTAAATAAGATATTTAAAAGGGCTTAATTTATTGGTGGTGGGTGAGAATGAAATGAATTTTGGGACTTAGCTATGTGGTTCTAGTAAATGGTGTAAATTTGTAATATATAAATTTATGCGTGTAATACACCGATGAACGAACAACGCCACGCCACAAAATGAGGTACATAGGGGCGAGTGCATTTTTTGTGTGGAATGCTAAATGCGAGTATGTGTCAGTGAATTTACTTATAAAAATAGTTTACTAGAGTTAAATTCTAAGCTAAAGTTAGTCCATATCTTTCTTTTCCCATGTAATTCACTCTTCTGAGTTGCAAAAAAATACAGTGACCAACTTCTTTACATAACATGACCATGCGAATAATATGCAATTCTTTATCTGGCGGACGTGAAATATTGTTGGGTTCAAGTGACGCAGAAAAAGTGGATTGTTTTTTAAAAGCAGTTTGGTTTTGAAATTCTATATTTTTATTTTGAACAATGGACATTTTTTAATCTGTGTCAAAATCTCATGTGTCACTTGTACCCAAAACAATCCCATCCGAAAGCCCAGAGTCAGTCCATAATAAAAAAGAACCAGACAAAAACCGACCAACAAACAACTCGACTTTAAAAAAAATTGTAACTTTATTACCGGTTAAGAGACAGGCTGGTATCATGGAGCAAAATCTGGACTAGGAAAAAGTTGGAGAGATCCACAATTCCAATCCAATTAATAGAATCAAAAAGTACCCCTTTTCACATAATAATTATATTTCAAACTTTCCGTTCAAAATTTTTTACTTATCACAAGTATTTCTGCTCCATTTTCTTTCCATATGCTTCTATCTAAATGGATAAATTACATTAACTGTATTTTACTGCGTGGGTCGAACTAACTAATTGTCGTATGTATGTACAAGCTTTTAGCAATTTTTGGCTTTAATAATTCCCACGCAAAATCCAATCCAATTTTGGTTTTGATAGGAAAGGCTTTAAATTTCCAAAATTTATGGGTTGTTTGTAGAGCGGAAATTGATGTTCAGTTCATGCACTCACTCCCACCCACACACACGAAACATAACATAATTGATCACAACGTACATATTAATTGTTTTGAAATACTTAATTTACTTACTCGACTTTGTATTTTAGTACAGTTTAGCTAAATATAAGAGGAATAAGTGCATGGAGTGAAAAATACGGCGTCATTCTAATTACACATTTTTACGTAGGGGTGGTGACACTATTATTAGAAGGTAAATAACAACAACTCACAAAAAAAGTACAGTACAAGGCTAGTCTGAATTTTTAACGGGGATCGAAGCGGTGTTTATTATAATAGTGACGACGGGATAAAAGAATGACAACGGGCTATAACAAAATAGAAAAAGAATCAATCCAAAATTAGATGGAATCTAATTATTAGTCATCCGAATTTTGTGCTGACTCTAAAACGAAGCGCTTATATTTTGCAAATTTGCAATTACAGGAGATACATAAATATCTTTGCTAAAGAAAAATCTGTAATTGTAATTGCAATCATTTATTACCTTAATTAATTATCACATCACACCAATCAGATTTCTTAGTCGGAATATATAAATTAATTAATTTTCCTCTTAATTCTTAGAACTGCCACCCTTAATAATTTACATAAATCTTTTACCATTGTCGTCGTTTACAAAAAACGTCACATGTTTAGAATCATCCATAATTTAATGACATTATTATCACTCGCTTTTGATGAGGAATGGGACGAATTGACTATTTCTAAAATCGTAGTGAAAACCGAATGTACATATATTTTTTAAAATTTACATTAAAAAATTGACAAGTTTTACGGTAATAAAATCCGGAGAAAATTAGTAGCGGTGGTGGGCTTGCGTTCTTTTCTGCTGGTAATAAAAGGTCTTAGGATGGTAATAACGTAATAAATGCGTTCATATACTTGATTGATTGATGGTCTCTTCTACATAAAATTTGCTAATTTATTACCAATTACAAAAAATTTGTATTCTGATTGGAATACAAATAGGAAGAAAAAAATCATTGCAAAAAAAACTGTCAAAAAAAGTTAGTGTAATTCACAAATCCCTTCTTTTCGAGGAAGGAGATCTTTTCTTTTCCTCTGGAAACTACAAATTATAAGTAAATAAAATGATAAGTCTAACTTAACTAAATACTTGATAAGGTGTTTAGAGGAGAAGTAGTAAAAGTCATATTATGGAGCCACGTCACACTCGAGATCCATTATCGTTTCGAAAAAAAATGTTATCTAATATTTACCACGTACTAAAAATAATACATAATTATTAAGGGCCCGGGGGAAGATTTACTTGATTTTATGTTAGCAACAATAATTGCCAGGGCCCCAAGATTATTATCGCTCTGTTAGGTTACGACCACAATTAATTGACACCGTTTCTATGGGACACTCACGTTCAAAAGCTTTGGTTTTGTCACTGCTTTTGAAAAAGTTTCCCTCAAGTCCCTCAAGTTTTTGAAAAAAGTTGTTTCTTTTGTTCCATGGATACTCAAAATGCAATTCCTGCCATTAATTTGGCAATTCTAAGCCAATTTGTCCTCACTTTACGACCAAATATCTCCACTGCACAAGAGGGCAGATCGTCAAAAAAAACTCAAGTAAAATCTAAAGATATGATTAACGCATTAAACATAATTTAAAAAATCTGCCCTCTTGTGCATTGCTGAATTTTATCGTCAAAGTTGACGTGATTTCTAAGCAACTTCCCCCAGGCCCTTAATGTATTATTTTATCGGTACTAATCTTACTTATTATCTTATCTTGTTAGTAATTATTATGTAATAAGTTAAGTTGGAGGAATTATCTCCAACATTTATTTAGTGGGTAGACTTTAGAAGAAGATGAGTTAGAAAAAAACTGGTGAATCATCATATTTACCTTTTATAATAGATCAGCATACATAAAAATTTCTTGTATAATGATATAAAAATAATAATAAGAAATAAATGATATAAAAATTCCACCGATTCAATAATATTCTTTGTGTTGTATCTCATTTTTTTCATTTTTTTGTTATCATCTACTCCCTGGATTTCAACTCCACTTTGAAAAGTGCAACTTTTCCATAATACTCTTTGTTGTATGGCATTTTTTTCATTTTTTGTTATCTGGATTTCGACTTGAAAAGTGGAAGTTGTCCTTGGATGAAGAATGGTGAACGTGAAATGTACTGGCACGATTTGAAACATTTCTTTTTTTCGTACAAAGGCATGATCTCCTGTGAAATCTGGACTGGACTTTTCTTCACCGTGATAAAATAAACTGTTCGAAACGGAATGTAGCAATAGGGTGAAACCAAATGGGAAATCCGAAATCTAAAATCCCCGAAACTACATTTAAAACGGTCGAACCAAAAAATTCGACATTTTTGACCTAATCACCGTGGTGCCGTGACCTTATGACCTATAGCGCTTATCTTCGAACTTATCCGTACTTCAAAAATTAGATACACGATGGTGAAATTCGAATCCGTTGAATAGTTAGAGCTCGTACTGACGGACGGACGGACGGACAGACAAGGCATTCCCATAACAGGGTTTTCACCATGATAATAATGTATATCGTGAATTAAGATAATATCCTCCTTCTCCTCGTTGCCATTATTACCTGGATGGAGTTTGAGCATCCAAGTGGAACGAGGCATGATGGCCTGAAGAAGAAAAACCAGTTTGTAACTATTTAATGGTCAGTACTTCTACTTGTGAATAGTCAAGTCACCCAATTCTCTAGCAGAAATTGAGGTGAAGTGGTGGGTGGGTGGATAGTGGACTGGCTTAGCTGCTATTAAATGAAGCTGGATAAGACTTGTTCTCCCGTCCAGCACAATTCCAGTCCAGAACCACATTTCTCTTCTTCTGCTACGGAGTAGAATGTGTAATTCGATTCAAATTTCTTCATGCCTTTCATTCCTCGGTAACCTTGGCACTCCTTTCGCCCAAATTGTGGACTTGATAACATGTTTTGCTTACAAATATCTATGCATCCACTTCCTTTCATCATACACGAACGAAACACATGCATGCATGAACTTGATTACAAATTATTAAGAGTTTCGTTCTTGCGTAGTTGCGTGTCATTTTTCTTTTGTATGAAAATAATGAAATGAGTCCCCGTTTTTTTTTAAAGTGAGAATTTACGAGTCTCAATTTTCTCTCTGGAAAGAGAAAATTTTCTTTCTGGAAGAATTTTGAGCAGTGGCCGCGGAAGCCGGGGGGACATTAACATTGCAGGATAGGGGGAGGTAGGGGTTGATGCGGACATCGAATAACCGTGGGGACACTGTCCCTCTGTCCCTACGCTTCCGCCGTCACTGATTTTGAGCCATCATAAATAACGGTCCTAATTTCGGTCCTTTCTACATTCGTTCGAGTTTATGTAAGTTTTAGTTCGGACTGAATTTCCTTTCTTACAATTCTCAACCCCCCAAAAACCCGCAGTATTTGCATTGCATTCGTTTTGTGGGTGGAAAAACAAACCGGAAACGTTAAGAGAAAACTTTCCCCTCCTACATTCGTATGAATGACTACCCCTTCGGGTATGGTAGGGACCGACGATATCTTAAATCTTCTTGACAGTTAGAGCAGGACCAACGTTTATTGAGGTTTCTTTCTCGGAAGAAAAACCCTCGCGTTTATTTTTTACTGGCAGCAAAACTTGTGTAAGACGCTCGATTAACGCTTATCACCAACTTGTTATTCTTCTCCCCAACGTCGCCGTCGTATAACCAGTAAAACGACATGACAAGCTCAAGAAAAGAAAAGAAAACTGCCCACATTTTTTTTTCGAGGTGGAAATTTTTGAAATTTTCCAGATATTTTCAGGATGCACACATACATTTTTTCCTCTCCAGCCCGAGAAGAAATCAGTATTCGGGCCGAGTGAGTATGTTTCATGTCCCGGAACGGTGAAGGAAGCTGCTGGTGAAACCTAAATAGTGCACACCCAGAAAGGAAGCCATACAAACATACCATTAGAGCAGCAGCAGCGGCGTCCCTCCGGCACAGCAAAATCCGGGGCTGAATGTGCTTACGTGCAACTCACAACGGAGTTCACAGGCTGAACTTGAACCAAAAATTCACAGAAACGTGTCTCAATTCACGCACGTTATGTAATCGAAGCGAACATACAATAAAAATCGTGCACGGGAAAAGTTTATGTGTAACATTACATTTCCTTGTATTTTTTTGGTAGGGATGTTTCATAAGTTAAATTCTTATGTAAGAATTTTCTACAAATATTGATGTCATATTTTGAAAAAATGCAATATGCAACTGTATCCTCCTAAAATGAGGGAGAGAAAAAGTAAATAAATATTGCAAGAAGAAAGTAAAAGCTGTGAAAAAAATCGTGCCCGAAGAAACTTGATGAAGAACATTTCCCCATATTTTTTTTACAGGAATATGTACTTCATACCTTAAATTTTTAAGAATTTCAAGAGAATATTGGACCCTATCCGTAAAAATATGAAACTGTATCCTCCTCCTAAAAGTAGAGAGAAAAAAGTAAATAAATATTCCCGGAAGAAAGTGAAAGTGGTGAAAAAAATCCATTTTCTCCATCCTCGGAACCATAATGGCTCAACGCGATCAACATTCTGAACATTTCCCTAGGTCTGGTTCAGTTCAGGCAGCAGCAGTTTCTGGTATTTTCACTCCAACTGACATCCTTCCCTCTTCTCCCACCGCTCCCTCGCTCCCCCTCCGAAGAACGCTTCCATTTGTTCCAGAACTTTCTCTCTCTCTAAAATCCACTCATTACACTGCTTCTCCTGCTTCTAAGCCCCAGCACTTGTGCATAGAGATCGATAAGACTGAACTTGAAACTGGAGACCTAAAGAAAGAAAGCGAAAGGGAGAGAGAAAGAGGGTGGGTCATGGATCCAGCTTTCACTTTCTTTCACTGGGACACGCATGTACGTACGCATTTCACCACCACCACCACCAGTCCACCACCCACTCCCTCATCCGCAATGCATACAAAGAGTAATAAGCAAGTTGAGCTATTTACTTATTGCGATGCGATGCCTCTCTTCTGCCCAATAAAAAATTTACTGCTGCGTACTTTCCCCGGCACAATTTCCGGCCTGGTTTAAACTTGGAATTACTTTTCCCTGCGTAAAATGCTGACTAGATTTCTAAATTACTGCTTTTAACAACTGCTTGCTGCGTAGTAGTTTTCGGTTCCACTTGGTAAAATGAAATTAAGTAAGGCTTTGTTTACGCGTACATATTTATTTACGTAGGAGGAGGTGGAGGTGGATGCGTGGTGGCGTGGTGTGGCGTGCCGCATTTAATATGCTCAAGCAATTTCCTCTCCTCTCTCCAAGTTCAAGGGTAACGAGGAGAAGAAGAAGGAGCAGTTTTTGAACTAACTAACCCAGACAGGAGAGAAACCACAAATGGACGAAGAACGTAAATTATATAGAGGGGCAGGCAGAACTTGTGGTGATGGTCGCTTTCATTCCGTCACTTTTAAATAAGAAGGTGTATGAAATGAAATGATTCCGATACATGGATACGTGTTGGACTCTCTTTTCATTAAAAAGGCCAGTTGGCTGACAAGTAGGAGTTTTTAGTGGGGATAAAATGCATGCAACAGTGTTTCGGGTGGAAGTTTTCATTTGCAAGAAATGACGGGAAGAAAGTGATTTCTTGCAGGTATTTTGACCTGCAAGAAATGCAAGATGCAAGGAACTATGCCCCGACACTCATACAACGCGTGGCTGGATGGCGCATATTTCTTGCACTTTCTCCCAGTTTCTTGCACCTCACATTTCTTGCGTTTCTTGCTTTCCAAGAAATGTACCAAACCCACAAGAAATGAAACACTGGCAAGTTACCACTTGCAAGAAATAACTGCAAGAAAGTGGTTTCTTGCAGCATTTTTTACCTGCAAGAAATGCAGGTTAAAACTTGCATTTCTCACAGTTTCTTGCATGTCTTACTTTCCAGTGCAAGAAACGAAACACTGCCAGCCTGCCAGCTATCTGCGACGTTCCTGCTTTGCTGCGGTGTTTTTCTAAAGACAGTAAAATTATTTATTGCCAATTTTCTCCTTCTTCTTTTTCTATCAGCCAGGGACCAGACCAGACCAGGCAGGCTCATTCAGTCACGGGCAGATGATGATATAGCCTGAACTTTGCCATTAGTAAGGTAGGATTGGTAGGAATCGTGCGAGGAATAATCACACAAAGAAGGAAATGTTATACAACACGAAAAACGAAACATCAAACCAGAAGCGGGTAATAAAGTCGATACTTTACGACGATTTTGTTGGCAGATTTGACGGTCCTCTCTCCTCTTTAGTTGCCTGCTGAAATCAGACCAGACATTACAGAAAAAAGAGATTCATTCAGGGATGGAGGACATCATTTAATTCAAACGACGACGCGATGACGACGTGAAGAAAGGAATAAAAAGGAATGCACCACGTGTCGTATTAAATGGAGGAGGAAGAGATAAAATTTATGCATGGAACAGGCAGATGATGCATAATTTTTCCAGTATTTAACAAGAAAATGAGAGATTTCATCGTCTCAAATTATATTTTTTATAAGCTTTCTTTTCTGATACAAGTTTTTGTGTAGATTTTGCTGCACAGGTAAAACAATGATCAGAAAGAGGAATAAATGCAAATGAGGGGTTACAACATCTCAAAATATATTTTTATATACAAATTTCTGCTTAGATTTTGTTGAAACAATTTTTTTTAACCTTACTAGGAATTTTGAATAAATTCTTAGGAATATAAAAAAATCGTCCCCCTGGATTTGCCCGATGAGAGATTACTCAAAATATATTTTCTTACATGCTCAAATAGAAATTTGTGCCCAGATTTTCTTGAGACAACCGAAAAAAAACTTAGAAATTTTGAATAAATTACTAATAAAAAATATTCGACCCCTGGATTTATTGTTAATAGCTGAGAAATTTTGAATAAATTCTTAGAAATGAAAAAAATCGTCTCGGATTTGGCAAC